TGTGGACTTCGGTTGATTAAAATAAAATTAAAAAAAAAGAAAGAAAGAAAACATATACATAATCTAACCACTACAAAATCATGAAAACAGTGCTTTCAAATAAAAATTTAAAACATTTTATCATGGGGAATTTTGAACATACACCAAAATAGACAGAACAATATAATAAAACACAAGCATCCATCACACGACCCGACAACCATCAAACCATGGCCAATCCTGCCCCATCCACATCCACTTCCCTCTTCCTGCATTATTTTGAAGCAAATTCCAGATGTCATCAAATCAGACACAGTACATGAAAAAGCAGAGATTCTTCAAGTACGTTATTCCACGCTGAATGCCTTCGTCTCCATCCCAAAATCAATTTTTTTTTCTGATGATAAACTACCCCCTCCTCCCCTTAAGATGTTGTTACTAGTACTAACTATTACTACACAGGAGCTACATGAATCCAGTTAATTTAGAGAGCATGTCTCAGATACACAGGACTTTTGTTTTACATGAAGGCTGATGACCTCCACACACCCTCCCATTCTTAAAACTCTATGACTCCTCTGTGCAAACATCCACTTTGGACCAGGGTTCCTCCATTACCAAAACTGGGCTCACAATATCGGGCACCAGGGAAGGCACAGGGGTCAAGGAAGTGTAGTGGTTAAGGCAACAGTTTCAGTCGTACAGATCGGGTTTTCAATTTGGCTCTGCCAGTGACTAACTGTATTCTTGGGCAAGTTATTAACCTCTCTGAGTTATTAACTGTCTCCTCATCTCTAAAATTGGAATAATAATAACTCTCTCATAGAATTGTTGTGGAGATTAAATGAAATAACATGTACAGAGCGCTTAGCCAAGAACCTTAACAATAAATGGTAGCTCATTTTTAAGAATTAAGCAAGAGAATCTCATATGTGACGAATATTAACAATGAGAGAAGATCCGTGTAAGGTGGAAAGGAGGAAGTGAAGGAAGAAATGGGGGTTAAAAATACACCCTTTTTATAAAATCATAACCCTTGACTAACTTTGAAGAATTTAAGCATCTCAGTATAATTGTTTAACGGGAACTTCCAATAAGATCAAAATCTAAAACATAGGTGCTTCAACCTGTTTATTACTGTCCACCCTTAAAACCATACACAAATATTAAGGGCTCTGGTGGAAGCACGTACTGTTTATATGCCAGGGTAAGGACTCAGGCTAGAGGGGGATGAATGCTCACTGCCTTGTCTAGATGAACCAGCCCAGGGCACTTGTACAGGTGAAGCACAGTGAAGCACAGAAGCCATAGCACTGATCATGAAAAGCAGCAGTGGTGGCAGTGGTCTCTCACTTGGCTTCAGGCCTGCACCATTTCAGTATTACACTTTTGAAAAAAAAAAAAAAAAGATCACTCAGATGAACACAGGGCATGGGGAGGCATGCTTTTTGCTTACTTAACATTTGTCAGGACACTGTAGATTGGGACAAAATGCATCTTAAAATCATGCACTATCAAATCACTACATTACAATCCATAATGGGCCCAGGGTCATGCAGTCGCTTAATAAGGAAAAGAACTGACATAAACATTTTATGTAAGAACTGCCTACCTATTTAATTAATTTAAAAATCACAAACTAGAAGCTTTTCACCGACTTTTTAATGAAAGTACCCTTTTCTTTCTCTCTGTCTCTCTCTCTCTTTATTTTGCATTCCAAAATGATCCAAAGGCTATGCTAAGATGGCCAATTGCCAGAGCGCTATTTCTCCAAGGGGTGAAAAAAAGGGAAAGATTAGCAACTTTTCTGTGGCTTTACAAATCGAGCCTCTGTTCGTGGGACTACCAGGTAGATGTCTGACTGTGATAACCACGTAACGGGGTTACTTCTCTTCAGTCTGTACCCCATCTATTCAACCCTGCTGCCAATAGGAACAGGAATAATCTTCCTAAACGCGTCACACACCACTTTAAAAACCTTCTGTTACTTGTCCTCCGTTCCAACCCCTCCACCAGCACTTCCCTTTCATAGTCTGGTCCTAACCTCCTGAGATGGTTGGCGCTTCCCAACTTCCCTTCACGTATCCTTTCCTATAAATTCAAAGCAGATTTCACTTGGTTTTTAAATTACTCAGTATGTGTCTGCCTTGGTGCCTTGGGTTTCTGGTCAATAGGAGCCTCTTTCCTAAATCTTCACCTATCAAAATTCTCCCTATTTCTCACATTTTAGCTCAAATGGCATTTTTTTCCCCCACACAACTTTCTCTGATCACCCCAGTTAGAACTAATCTTTCCCTTCTTTGTACTCTAAGAGGACTTGATCTGGCTTGGACTGTGGTCACTAGAGTTTGATTTTTATCACCTGAATTCCAGGTTTCTGGGGGTCAGAGAGCACGCCTTTTTGATTTTTTATGCCCCTCGGAGCATGGAGCATGGTGGCTTTTCATCACACAGAGCTATGCTGCCTGTCTGATATCTAGGAAACCATCAATAATAGCATTTGCATCTTTTCTGATAAGCAGTTCACACAAGGAATCCTTTGAAGGGAGTTGCTTAATTGGCTCACCGACTCCTGGACTTGATGGTTTCTGCTATAGACAAAGCTCCCCTCGCCGCCCCTGCCCCCGAGCCCATCTGATACACGCACAGAGCACAAAAAGTGCGGCCAATTCTCTCTCCGCGGAGGGAGTGAGAAACTGAAGAAGGAAGACACATGTGTAAGAGGAAACACCAAAACCACAAATATGGAAACGGTGTTTGTGAACCTCTTTCAGTCAGATCACAGACATCTTTAAATTCATCACACTTCCTTAGAAGGAGCAAGTTAGGCAAATGGGGAAGGGGAAAAAATATCTTTCAACTTATTTTAAGTCTTCCAAATTTTTGGATTATATCATCGATCATTCTAAGGAGAATAACGGATAATCTTTAAGAATGCATCCATCACGTTCTGGCCTTTTGGCTAATATCAAGTGACGAATGCGTCTATATTTCAAAACTTCAATCACTAGCAATTAATATAAGGTAAGTGCTGGGGCAAAATAAATATGCATAAAATGTTAACTCTTGAAAGTCCAAGAATAAAATTCATCTCTGTCTCCAGTATAATTGAGTTCTTTCCTCCCAGATCGAATACATGTAATGAACACAACAAGCAAAGGCATAAAATGAATTTCAATACAACTTGCCAAAGATTACAGCTAATTTAGGATGGCATTTGAAGTACAGTGTTTTTCTCCTTTTTATGAATGTATTGCTGGTGAAAATATTACAACTTAACATTTTTATTACCATCATCATAATTAAAATATTATGAGTACAAGAAGAATATTCCAAAACATTACATCTTCTGAAAATACTGAGCAATATACCCAAAGAAGAAAAATTCTGTTAGTTTCCTGCCGAATTCCTAAATACAGCTGTCATTGGACCAAGAGCCAAAAAGCAAATATTACAGTAAAAAATTCTAGAATTTCAACAAAGCAAGTCTCTTACTCCAACAATAATTCTTAAATACCTAAAACAAACACACCACATTATCCATTTTACTTCTTAATGTCTCAACATTGCCCCTAAATGGATAATTTATTTCATCACTATAACAATCAAATCAACAGAAAAATGCAAAATTACTCACTAAAATAATGCTCATAAATGTTGAAGTCACACTTCAAGTGCACCCCCTACCGCTGTGGTCTAACAGTAAACTTTTCAATTGCACGGTTAAAGTATGTATTTCTACACTCTCCGCGTGTATTCAACACTGGTAATTTATTCAGTCTAAAAACTAAGGTCTCTTTATTCAACCTGAAACTGGGGTCTCCGACTTCTAAGATATTTGCTGGGGTTAAGCTTAGGTCTGTGGTTTTATCAAAGCTAAGACTTCTAAAGCTGTGCTGTCCAATTTGATAGCCACTAGACACAAATGGCTATTTAAATTTCAATGCATCACAATTAAATTTAAAATTCAGTTCCTTAGTTATATCCATCACATTTGCAGTGCTTAAGAGCTACACGTGGCTCTCACATTGGACCGCACAGATCCAGCAAGTTTCCATCACCACAGAACGTCCTACTGTACTCTTCCCTCCTAAAGACGGCCCGTCTTATAGGTCACATTTGCTTTAGTGCCACTGCTCCGAGGCAAAGTGAAAGGCAGAACTGATAATGCCACCTACCAATTTTTTTAGGCTGAAAATTAGATTTTTAAGATGTTTCAGACAGATTCCACATCACCTCAGGATCTAAAGACATGCAAGAAAAAAAGTGGCCCCTTGGTGGATTCAGAGAAAACCAACAAACCAAAGCAACTACAACTACAACAAAACAAAACCCACCATTGTCCATAGAGTGTATAGGCTGTTCTACCCATGAGAAACCCAGTGTTTAGCATTTTGAACAAAAACAATGCTCCCATTATTCAGAAACTGCTCACATCTGCTATATACACATAATGTCTTTGGTAGGTACATGCATGTTCACCTAACCAAGAAGATCGGCTTCCTCTGGCTAATAACTGGCTTACGGAAGCAACGTGGTCAAGTGATATGAACACAGGTTTTGAAACCAGACAGGAGTTAAGTCCTGTATCCCTTCCTACACGCCCACTAGTTAAATGACTTTTCAGCATGTTACCGAATCGTTTTGTCTGCATTTACCAAAAAAGAAAGAAGCAAAACTCAGGTCAAGTTCCCAGGCTTGAAGTCAGTATTAGACAATATAATGTATATTTGGCATCAACTCACCTAGCATGTGATACCATCAGTTATACTGGCAACTATTGTGGAAGACAAAATAAATAAACAAACAAACAAATAAACAAAACCCCACAATCATAATGCCACTAATGATCGCTATTAGTAAACCAAACCTTTTTATTAAAAAAGAGCCTTCTTCATAAATAATTCACACGTCATACAAATCATCCATCTGAAGTGTAAAATTCAATGTGAATCAAGTCTTTTTTTGTTTTGTTTTGTTTTGTTTTGGGTTTTTTGGGGGGAGGGGTAATTAGTTTTATTTATTTTGATGGAGGCACTGGGGATTGAACCCATGACCTCGTGCATGCTAAGCACATGCTCTACCCCTAAGCATACCCTCTCCCCCAAGTCTTTTAATTCATAATTCAACATCATCCAGTACCTGTTATGAGCTACTGACTGCAAGGTTCTAGGGCAGTGGTTCTCCAAAGGGACAGTTTTGTCCACCAGGGGACATCTGGTGATGTTTGGAGACATTCTGGATTGTCATGATGGGTGGAAGCTATTAATATGTAATGGATAGAGGCTGGGGGTACCGCTAAAGCTCCTGTAATGCACAGGGCAGCCCCACAACAAAGAATTAGCCAAAATGCCAATTGTGCTTAGGCTAAGAAACCTGTTCTTGGGATACAAAGAGGAACAATCTCTGTCTTCCCAAAGCTTCCTTTCTAGTGAAAGAGTTCAAGATGGAAACAGAGCGCAGGATGTGAGGCTTGCAGAGGATGCTTAAGCCAAAAGACTGGAAGACAAAGAGAAATTTCCCAAGATGGAAAGGAGTGGTTTCATGTAGAGGGAATAACATGGAAAAAATACTTAGACACATAGAAAGCATGGTGGAGCCTAAGAGGTTTCAGTAGTTCAGCATGGTTAGGGCTCAGGATGCTTATCAGAGAGAAAGAGAGGACAGACGGTGAAGCTGGAGAGGCATCGGGGTCTTGCATGTCCTGCTAGGAAGGAATGTGGACTTGAGCTTATAATCAGTGGTCAACAAACATTTTCTGTAATGAGCCAGAAAGGAATATCTTTAGGCCATATTTTCTCTGTTACAACTCTGCAACTCTGTGATCAGAGTGGGGAGAAAGTAGCCACAGACAATATATGAATGAATGTGGCTGTGTTTCGTTAAAACTTGACTTATGGCCACTAAAACTTGAATATCATATAATTTTCAGGCTTAATAGAATATTCTTCTCTTTTGGTTTTTTCCTCTACTATTTAAGACTGTGAAAACCATTCTGAACCTGTGAGCTGTACATAAACAGGTGGTGAAGGTGGTGCTAAGAGTCTGCAAAGCCCTGCTAGAGTGAATGCACAGGACTTCTAGGTGACACGTTAGCTGATCAGGTGAAAAAGGGAGCAGGGCATTTCTCTTTGGATCTCTGGAAGTACTGACCGTCTGCTAGCTCCTCCTGTTAAAGACAGATGGACTTGGGCCTGAATTTGGTCAATAGCTTGCTTGTGATACTTACAACGAGGTGGTAGGCTAACTAAAGGAATGAAAAGCTAATTTCAGGCTACTGCGGTGAAATGACATTTACCTAATGCAGATATAAATTTCTTCATAATTAGTGGGCACTTGACACTAATGTAATCTGATTACTGCAGCAAAGTCATCCTTAAACTAACTCCCCAGTACTGACAGAGTATGTCCTTGAATTAAACGAATTAGGGCTAAGTGACAAAAAGTACCAGCTATTAAGAAACAACTCCATATTTATAATCATCCGTTACAATGAAGAAAAGTACCAAATACCTCATCATGTCAATATGAGACGTACGACTTGACCCACAGGTCAGGCGTTCGCACTGTCTCAGTCTTGATAGTCTCCTAAGTCAGACGCCAGAAACTTTAAGCTCCTGGAAACCTCTTACCTTTAATTTGGGACTATTTTCAAGAGAGCAGTCTGATAACATGAATTCATATTGTGACAAAAACACGGCACTGTTACTAAATTTTAAAAATGTATTATTTAAAAAAAACTGTTTAAAAGTACAGAGTACTAATCTGTAGAAATAGTACTTTAAAAAATCTTGTTTCTTCCTGACTCCAATTTTTATTACTTTTAATAGCCACAATGGTATACTATTGTAAGTAAAGCCATTTCAAATCTAAACAACTGTCTTTTACATCTTTGATGTGGCTCTTTATGAATAATTACGATCTTTCTTAGGGACACTAAACATACGTCAGAAGGACTGTTTGGAGGATTAATTGATCTGTTTGTAATTTAATTGCATGGTGTCTGGGTGTACAGTGTGGGCTCACTCGAGGTTAGGTGTCATTAACATGAAACGTCATTACAATCGCTCCTTCAGCTTCTCTCTAAATGGTTCACCACAGCAAAGTTCTCCCAACTCGAAGATACTTTTCTAAAATTCAAGAACCAACAGAATCTAGAAATTGCACAGTCCAACCCTCACATTACATAAATGGACCGACTGACTGAGGTCAGACGGGGGGTGGTTTAAAGAGCGAGGGCTTTGGAGTTGAACAGGCCTGCTTTGGAGTCCTGACTGCACCAGCCCATGAGCTGAATTAATTCTGCCAAAACCTCCATTTCCTAATTTATAAAATGGAGATTAAATGAGATAATGCTCACAAAGTATCGAGTAGTGACTAGCACGTATTTTCAAAACTCAATAGATGTTCACTATTATTATTATCTTATTCTTCCACTGTGAAGTTGTATTTCCTCTGTCCATCTTTTGGAGAAATGTGTGTAAACTGCTCTTATATTTGTTGTGAACTTGACTCCTATCAAACCATACTGACAGCCCATACCAGACGGAAGCAGATTAACAAGCAAAATATTTACCTTCCAAATTACGCAAATTCTACCTCACCTTTTCCTTCATTAGTATATACCCCAATTTCAAATTATTTTTTAATTACTTTTTTAATTTAAAAAAATTCCCTTCTAGTTGTATTGAGATATAATTGACATACAGCACTGTATACTTTTTTGTGTGTGGGGTGTAGGTAATTTAGCTGTATTTACTTTTTATTTTAATGGAGGTGCTGAGGATTGAACCCAGGACCTTGTGCATGCTAGGCAAGTACTCTACCACTGAGCTATACCCTCCCCCCTCAAATCAGTTTAATAAGTCTTCCAATGCTTCAGTCTCTCCAACTCAGTTCCCATGAATCCTGAGAATATATACGTAAAAACTGTGCTAAACGTGTCTGTGAAACGCTTTGTTAAAGATGACACAATAAGGAACAAAAGACGGTGTTTTTGGAGATTCCAGGCAGTTGTGGGCCAATGAACGTCACAGAAAGCCCCCTTTCAATTCATTTGCTTCAAAAGGCTAAGGAAATAACCTATTTCCTTTTCCCTCTTTTCTATCTGGTTTCTCTGATGTGTTCCCAGATACTCAAAGAGAGATTCAGATATCCATGAAATCTTAATATGCCTGTTCGAAGCCAGGAAAAATAAAGAGCCGTATGCCAATGTTTAAGACCAGGAAGAGTCCATCAGTACTTGAGGGGGAATTTGGTTCAGTCTTAGAAATTCCTGAAAGAGTCTTTCTTCCCCAGTTAACATGGAAGTAATGTCAAATGGCTTAAATTTTGCATGGAATTCTACTACCCCGGAGCACGCTCCTGAAGTAATCCTACGAACTTGGCAATTACTCCAGCAGCCTAAATCTTCATCTGTTGCCAGATGCGCTGCAGCAGTTTCTGGCCTTTCCTTAACAGCCCTTGCACTTGACATCATTTAGCCTAGACTCAGCGCTTGACCTCGCCTTTACAGTTGGGGAAGAGTTCAGAGGGACTAAACCTCAATAGAAACAACCTAAGTGTGAAAGGTTTTACCCAAGTCTTCTCTCAATGAGCGCTTTTTAATCTTTAATGTTGGTCTTTAATCTCGCTGTTCAGCAGAATGGGATGACTGCGAATTCTCCCTTCTGTCTGAGAACCCCCAAGCTCAGAGTTTGTTTCTGCTGTTTTTTTTTTTTTCTTTGCTTTTGTCTTGCCTTCAGACAGAAGTAGAAAGGCCAGAAGGCTAACTTTAAAGGCTCCTCTCACACAAATGAGTCTATCTTTTCATCAGCTTTGTTCATCTGATTGGGTTTGATTTGAATTTTCCTTTAACCTTGGATATTTGACAAGGTTCTCTAGGCACCCGGAGACTTTCTCGCCCACAACAGGAACCACTTGATTGGATCAGAAACCACTACCTGCCTCTGGAAATCAAAGCTTTCAGTAGGGTCAGATCAATCAGGGGTGGTGGCATGTTCTGAACTTTGCTTGAATTCTTTAAGATTTCGCTGTTAACCCATGTGGATGTTCCAAGGAGCTTCTTACTGATAGAGGCAGGGCTTGGGCTGTATGCTTTATTTTCTGTCTTTCCTTCTCTCCATCTTGCCTGCTCAGCTTTGAACAAAGAATGCAGCACACTAGCCAGGTACGTGCACAGTGTTTGCTCTTGCCCACCAGAATAGTCCCTGGCATGCATGGTACTTCATCTTTCTCCCTCCATAAATGCTCTGTTAATGGCATCTTGGCCATTCAATGTAGTTCAGAGACTCACTGTGTAAGTCTGTCACAAACAGTCTACATCCTTACCATGAATACCAATATTAGGTAATCTTCTGAAAAGAAACAGAATTGTGGTTGGGTTTGACCAGGCAGTGGATTATAGCTCACATGACCACAGATGGTAAGACCACTAATTCGTTGGATAACTGGAGACCTGGATCAAGTGATGACACTTACTTGCAACGTTTCCACTTAGACTCAAGTACTTTGGAATGATGTCTTCAGTCATGGACATAACGCTAGGTTTGGAACTTCTGACCTAGTTACAATTAAAATTACCAAGCGAGTAGAAATCTGTTCTTTCTACTGGCACTGTGGCTTGTAAAAAACACGAAGGGAAGGTGAATACATGCACCTACCCTCAAATTTGGTAAAAAATCACTGGATCAAAAAACCAGAAGCATGATTTAATGATCTTCAAGAAATTAGGCAAATGTGTCAAGTCTGAAGAATTTTAAAATGGTTCTAGGTCGAAGCATGAAAAACGTCTTTGGGGAAGGAGTGGCTATAAGGGGAACGTGGTGAGGAATTTGCCAGGGGTTAATTGCAACCCTGCATGAAAAGCAGTTAACAAGTGAGAATTAGAACACCCAGGAGGAAAAGAAAAATGCTTCCAGTGCCATAAGAAATAAACAACAAAGGAGAAATATTTCCTTTGGCTACCACTACCTCCTTCACAAAAGCTCAGAGGAGCTGCGGGGAATGCCAAGGCCTGGTTTTCTCTCAACTCCCTCTGAAACATTTGTCTTCATTACTACTCTTTTTAATCAGGGCTCCTTCGTGAGTGTTTCTGCTCAGCCCCTAAGGGGCAGCTCTGGTCTGCGATAAATCAGAATCCACACCGCAAGTCACTAATCAGCACTCCCAGGGAAAGAAAAACAGAGACGTGCAGAACACTATGCTGAAAAGGCCTGGGGGCTCACAGGCCTCAAGGAAGAAAGGCCTTTATGTAGAAATAATAAGTCAGTGAAGGTGCGATGGGACTCCAAGGCCTAGGACTTACTTCAAAATCTCAAATGCAAATTGTTCACACTTCATTGTAAGAGACTGGAAGATAGTTTTATTTCAGCGATGGAAGGTAGATGATGAGTTTGCTTAATGAACTGAAATTTGTACCCCCAGCTTACTGATTTCGCTACCTAATTCAAAACCTAGTATGACCAAGGCAGAGGGACAGGTGATAAATTAAAATTGTTAAAACAAAGTCAGAAACTCCCCTTCTCACCTCTTGTTTTGGTGATGTGCTTAGGAAATGAAACAAAAAAATTCCAGGTGACAACTCTCAAATATCTGTAATACGAATGTTAGTTTGCTTAAATGGAATTAGAGTTATAAAATTATGAACACATTGTATTTTTTTTTCACTGAAAAGGATCTTAGAAATAATCTGAGAAAGAGATTAAATGGACTTGATGGAAGTCAGCAGACCTGGTTAGCAGCAGAATTTACTCTAGAACCTAGGATTCCAAACATCTTACACAACTATAGATTTCACGCATGAGTCAAATGCTGAAAAAACACCACTTAGAAGAGAGAAAAGTGAAGAGAAGAGTAGACTACGAGCAAGGAAATGTGGGCCACAGTTCTGCATCCACCACTGACTCACTTACCTTGGCCAAAGCACCTAATACCCTGAGTTTCAGTTTCTTCATCTGTAAAATGCGGTTTACATCTTTCCTGAATGTATTAAACAGATGCTGCAACCTATACTCAAAGTAGTATTAAATTATTACAAACAACTTTTCTGAGAGCATTAACAGGCTGAAGAGCTAACAGGATTCATGTAAAACAGAGAAAATTCACTTTTCAGAGGAAGACTGATCCAGATGGTGGCAAACACCTCCAGGACCCTAGGAGACAATCTTAGATATGAAATCACCCCTGAGATACAAAAGCAGACTAGAGGGTGGCATGCAAATTAGCAAGCCAAGAGTTGCGTCCATGGCTTCCAAAACAGATGCTAACTTTATTCTAACGACACACCGAAGACCTGCTTTATACCTGCCTGCCTACGACAAAGGGAGGTCAGCATGGACTCTGGGAAGAAATCACAGGTGACACACTGAGCCGGTCACATGACGCTGTGTGGCAGTAAAGGCAACACGCCTGGCCACAAGCCAAGACCTACCGCTGTTCCAACTTTGTTGGCTTTTTATTGCTCTAGGATCTGAACTGCTTGGAGCCCAACTGAACCAAAAAGAAGAACGTCAGCAGAGTGCAGGTGTTTATAGAAGGGATATCCAAGAAGTGTGGCTCGAATTTTGAATCCTCGTCCAAAATCCTTAGACTTCATACTACAAAATGGAGGCAATCAAAGGTTCTTGAAAACCAGAGTGACATGATAAAAGCAGTATTTGAGGAAGAAGTTTCTCTCAGCGTTACACAGGATAAACTGGGGGAAGCGACAGGGTCAGAGAGACCAACATTTGTGGACCAATAATGGACGCCGCTGAAGTAAGGGGTGAGTGAGAGTCAGTTCAGTGGTCAGTCTGAGGAATGGTGGTGGGTTAGGGGGATGGTCTCTTGGGGTATACTGATTATCCTTTTGGATAGAAGAGAATCAGTGATAATAAGGAAATTGTACAGATTCATTTCTCATAGTTAACTGTTAAGATATTTTATTTGTTGGGGTTTTTTTTTAATCATTTTTAAAAAATTTTATTTACTTACTGTTGTTGAGGGAGGGAAGTAATTAGGTTTATTTGCTTATTTGCTTTTTTTGTTTTTTAGAGGAGGTACTGGGAATTGAACCCAGGACCTCGTGCATGTTAAGCATGCGCTCTACCACTTTGAGCTGTACCCTCCCCCCTTCATCAGTTTGTTTTCATTTGAAATGTAGTCAGTTTACAATGTTGTGTCAATTTCTGGGGTACAGCATAATAGTCCAGTCATACATTTACATACATATATTTGCTTTCATATTCTTTTACAGTACAGGGATTACTACAAAATATTGAATATAGTTCCCTGTGCTGTATAGTAGGAACTGGGAACGTAGTTGGGTGCAGTCATTACTTGTTGGTTTTTAAGGCGCTCTGGAAGTTAGAATTGAGAGGGATACTTACACGATGATTATTAGGTAATAATAAAAAGTTTAAAGAGCTTTAGAGAAAAAAAGTATTTACAGTAAATTTAGAATTAGTCGTGTAAACTTAGTGAAGTAGAATGGGGGTCTCTGAGCTGTCTGCCAAATATGTGATTAGAACAACTGGGCAGATGCCGTGAGGGCATCATCCATCTGCTCCTGGGGACCTGCCAGCTGTCTGAGCCGCAGAAGCAGAGGCAGGGTGCTAATGCTGCGGAATCAACATGGCCTTGACAAACGACAGACCAAGATCACCCGTGCTCTAGAGGGAAGCGTCGGCAGGCTTTGTTAAGTACCGATACGGATTAGATTTTTCTTTTAAATGTTGCAATTAAGCCAGATGCAGCTTAATGATCTGCTGTGAGAAACGCACAAGTCTGCCTTACACACAAAAATGGCTTCTGTAGAAAGAAATCAAGTTGTAGTTTCTAAATATGGGCACAGAAGAACATGGGGAAGTCCACGGGAGAGCGAAAGGTGTCCAACAACCGCTCTATAACTGAGGCGCTGCCCGGCCCTGCACGGGACCTCGGGGTGTCCTCGACGTCACGCAAAGCCCCTCCTAGCTCTTCTGCGCTGTGAGGAGGCTCAAAGCCTTGGAAGTTGAACATCAAGTCTGCCTGCTATAGAGCAGCCCCTCTCAGATGCATTCTCATTCCTGACAGACACCCACCCACCGGCAGGCCTGGGAGACACATGGCGACCAGAGCAAGTTGTCAAACCTTATCATTATAAAACGTCCGTCTCCCCAAAGTACAACCTTTGCTCAATGCAGTGTTTTCCTTGGAAGACAGCTCTTCTCAGAGCTATAAAGGGATGGCTGGGATTGATGAGGTAAGTTCTTGTAGCTGAGCTAACAATCATGTTAAAAATGTAAAGGTGAAACGGTAACAGCGGAATGTTGAAGCAAAACCAAAAAAACAGTTAACAACAACAAAATTCATCAGTTATGTTCCTCTGCTTCAAAGCATTTCATCATTTTTAGCATTCCTCTTTTGAGAAAAGAAAACTGCATGCAAGTGATAACGGTCTTCCTCCTTTCATTTCCTTTCTTATTCCATACCCTCAGGTGGCTAGCCTAGTGCCACACCGCCTGGGCTGTGTAGAAAGTTCACAGCTCTTTGCCTGATCTCATGATCCTCTATCAAAACAGCACTTTCAGAAGTGTTTCCTGTCTAGCTCTGCCCTTGCGTGAGTGTTTCCCTGGCTGGGATCAGCTGCCAAATTAAGTCCCTTTGGTAAAAAACTGCAGGGAACTCAATATAGCCCTGTCCCCCCCGCCCCCCTCCACCTTAGGCCTGACATCCGGAAGTGACTTAGGAAGCACACTAATGGTTACCAAATTTTTGGAAACTGATTTAACTTTTCTGGGCTAAACATGTGTTTAGGAGAGACGGCATCACTAATCATCACTTGACCTTGTGACAGACCAAAAGTTGCTGATGTTTTTTTCCAAAGAAAGAAAGAAAGAAAGAAAGAAAGAAAGAAAGAAAGAAAGAAAGAAAACCTCAACTTTTACCAGCTTGCACAATGATGTAAATGCAAAATCATGTTGTGAGATGACAAATATGCCGATTTCCAGATGTTTGACAAGATAGTGCAGAAACACCAAAGAAAGGATGGTTAACAGTTTCTGTCACAAACTTTGCTGGGTTACGTGCTTTCTGGGGACTTTACACAGCCGTCAAACCATTTAGGACAGAGAAGGACTCAAGGTTTCTCATCACTTGTCACATTCTAATCCATCATCTCTGGGTAAAAAGAACTTGGTCTCTGAAAGCACAGAAACCTTTCCAAATCTATGATTATTACTGTGTTCGGAAATAACTGCAGTGTGATTTACCCAAATGTCTATTTACAGTTGTCACACTTTTCATTTAAATAAGCTTGTATGCCAATCATTAGAAGACACAAATCTCGAACAAAATTCTGCACGTTCCACTAAACACCCCTCTGTATATCAGCCACAGATCAAATCACGTCAAAACAGCATATTGCTCGGGCTGTCTCTGCTACCTGGGCTTCCTTTTTATGTGCTCATCCCTGACTGACACCATTCCTGGTGGAAGTCTTCCAAAAACAACCCAGATTTGGTTGTCAGATTTACAGTATCAAGGAAACTCTAAAATGAATGGGTTCCTTAAAAGAAAAGCCAAACTTTGGGTAATTACATTCAAATTCCTTAATCACATTTTCTGAGCTCAATGGGAATTGTGGTGTTTCTTTCCTGAATATCTTCTCCAGAGCCACACGAACGCAGCACAGATTCTTCTTTCAAAGGGATGTCAAACATAAGGCCTCCCCCTTGGCAAAAATGTTAGTGTCAACTGTATGCTTCTTTTCTTTCTCATGCAGCAAGAAGCAGTATACGTAAGTATATATGCATGGATATATGTATTTAGATCACCCTCCAGATATTTTAACCCACTCTCCCACAAAAAAAAAAAAAGAAAAGAAAAGAAACAAGAGGAGGAAAAAGGATACAGAGCATCTCAGGAGTATTTGCAAGCATATAGTTTACCAATGGTGTTAGACATGATTGCAGTTCAGTAAAATTTGCTTCTTTTCCACCTCTGAGCTTGTACCTCCACATCGCCTTCAAGATGGGGAAGACTAATGGGAGACTAGTCCAGAAGTCTCAAACAGACCTTTCTGTGATGATGGAAATGTCCTAGACTTTGTGTTGTCCAATATGGTAGACGTACAATGTGGCTAGTGCAACTGAGGGACTGAAAAACAAACTTTAATTAATTTTCACTCATTTAAATCTCGTTAACCAAATGGTGCTCGTGGCTATTGCACTGGAAGGCACAGTTCTAACCCATGAGTTGTGAGCAGAAGTGACCAGTGTGAGACCTCCAGTGTCCCCTTCCCTCTGCTGTGGTCACTTGCAATGATTTGGCGGTGAGACTTTTGTTAATTTAGGTCCAAAAGTAGCGATAGCAGGGAGCAGAGACTTGTGTCATTTAGGATGGACAATCATTTAGCCAGAAAAGTCACCAAATGTAAAAGAAAAAGAATATAGCTAGTACTGATCTTTGGGAAGACTCTATGGGTCAAATATTACCCACAAAAATGTCAAGAAGCTTCTACTTCTCACGTGCAGGTGGCGATGCAGTAAGACAGGGAAACGGACCTGCTCAAGAAGACAAACTATTCTCTAAAGATCTGACCTATTTTAAAAATTAAAAACTTGTGAAAAAGGGTGGACTTAGGACATTGTACTAACTGCTGAGAAAAATAACTCAAGAAGAAATCTTAACATATTTTCTGTCACTGTCATCATGTAAGACATTTCTGTATTCAAAGTAGTAAAAATGCCTTTGTTACTAGTCTTTTTCCCACAAAGAGAAAAATCCCCTAGTCATGAAAGAGTTAAAAGAGACCAAAATTAGACACAGTTCATGTTAAAGGTTAGAAGAATAATCAGTCATTTGAAAAACACTACATAAACATTTTTCCGGATGCAATTTTCAGTCCAAGGATACATTTCCCAGTAGAAATCAGCAGCTAAAAAGGAAATCATTTCGTCTCCATAAGTGCCAAATTGTATCCTGATTTTTCCTGGTCTGGCTCAACTTTCAAAACTAGTGGTTCAACTTCTGCAATCTTTCACCCAATGACTATGTAAACACATCTTTATAAGACAGACATAATCCTTGGGTGGGCCAATTTATGTTGGATTATGAAAATACTTAAAATACAAAATCATATAATGACTGTTGTCCTCTGGTTTTCCACTGAAAGGAAAGGAGAATCCAGTTAACACAGGCAGTGGTTCCTGTGAAGATAATATGACGCATATACAATGCTTTCTCCTTTTCCAGCGTTTTGGACAAGTCAGTAAAGGATTGCATCATATTTTGGCAAGGTGATATGTAAATGGAAACATACCTCTGATGTGCTCCCATCACATGCCATACCGTACCACGCAATTGGAATGAATTAAACTACTCACACGAGGCCAGGAAAAATTCTCACCCTTAGAAGTACTTTGGATCTTCTGCATTCGGTCAGAGGTTATAGAAACATTAGTTTTAAGGATAAAGTAATCTTAAGTAAAAACCAAAAGATTCATTCAGAATTTATTACTGCCTCCGATACATATATATCTCACATTATTCGGAACTCTCCATAACACAATTCAAGCAGAATAGCAACACTGTAGCTAGGAAAAATCATAAATTTTAAATCTTCAGAGAAAGATAAACTCTGCTTTTTCACTTCTCCCTTGAAATTCTAGAGCTTTTACAGTCAACTACAAAATGCATCATGAAAAAGCCTATCTTCAACGTGTAGCATGTGGAGGGGAAGAATTTTAACTTTTCCTCCAATGAATAAAGTTATGTAAAAGAAGACATTTGGGGAGTCTTTGGAGAGCGCAGAATAAATTATAGCTGTAAGATCTGGAAAAGTTTGGTAGAACGTTAAGAGATTTTCACATCTGTGTCTATGCATTCATGTCTTGGGAATAATGTATCTCCAAAACCATTCACAGAAAAATGTTGTAAAACGCTCCTTCCTTCAGTAAGCAAATCTTAAGAGCTGCAATCACACACACGTCATTTCATCATACATTGTTGAAAATTACATCAAATACCCAGAATTCTATTCATAAAAATGATTTTTGCCAATATCGCTCAAAGTTATAACGAAGCAAAGAATTTCAAATAGCTTAATTTTACAAACTTCTTATAATTTATAGTATGATTCTATGAATAATCTTCTAATGGCTATATTAGTCTTTCATCTTTGCTCCTGAGAAAACAAATAAATACGTCACTGAAGCAGTAAGAACACACTCTAGAAATGAACACAGCACAGTGCCTTTTCCTTCCTGTGCTGGGAGAAGCTGATGAATGACACACTTTTTCAAGTCACAGAATTTAAACTGAGTGTGAGGACATGTTAGAGTTGCATTTTCCTGTTCAAATGACTTGTTCTGTCCAAACCAGCATGAAGTACTTAATTAAATATTTTCACTTAACTCTAATTGCAAAGACAAAGTTTTTAACTTGTTTGCCGAAGTTAGAAAATCTTAAGTTCTTCTCAAAAGAAGATACATGTACACATGTTCAAAACTAAAAATTAAAGGTTGATTATTTAAATCTAGCTTTTAAACTAAAATATTTTGCATTCCTTTTCGATTTAAAACATTCTCCAATGAAAGCCACCATTATTTATAAGTGAAGAAAGAAAAGGGAATTTGTCTTACTTCTCCCCACTCCTCACTTTGCCATTGTCACCTGTATCTATTTCCAGGAAGCCAATATTCATTAGGGTTAATCTGCCTACTAAATGAATAAACAAAGGATTTCTCTGTCACTAAGAGGCCAGGTGAGCCGATAGCATCTTCTAACACAGAAAATCATCTGTACCATACAGCTCAGGAAATTACCTGCTGCAATTCCACACCTGGGATCATTTGGCAGGCAGATCTCTAATGTTGAGTAATATATGGAAAATTGACTATAACCATTTTTTCAAAGGACTGAAAATCTTACATAGTTTAGACAGAAGAACATTTTTATGTAATTAAGTATTTATGTTATAAAGGAAAGGAAAACTAGTGGAAAAAAAAGAAAAAGTTTTCCGTGTTATTCCTAATAAAAAGCAACAGTGGATGTAAGAACAAAAATCAAAGTACCAACATG